AGACAGATAGATTTCCTCCGTGATAATTAATCCCTAATCTGGTCTTCCAGATCTTCCAAATTGCCACTGTAACTGAGCCCATCCACCTTGCTACTGGTTGATCTTCTCTTTCTTTCAACCTTTCCCAGCATTATAGATGTCTCAAGAGAGTTGGTCTTCACATAGTGTCCAAAGTAGTATAATTTGAACTTGGTTGTTTGTGCCTCAAGTGAGAACTTTGGATTGATTTGTTTGATGGTCCATTTGTATGAGCAATAGAATCTAATGCCATAACAAGCGCATCACCTGATAAGCTCTGAGAGCAACTTTGACCATGAGGATTGATATAATCTCCAAATGGAATCTCCAGAATGGAATGGATTGTTTACATATAAAAACAAATCCAGAGATCTGGACTTATTCCCCTTCTAGAAGAATCCAAAAGGCAAAACGATCAGGAGGTACAATACTACTACTTTAGCCTTGCTAAAAATTTACTGTAAGTTAATAATAATAATAATAATAATAATAATAATAATAATAATAATAATAATAATAATAATAATAATAATAATAAAGTTGGAAGGGACCTTGGAGGTCATCAAGTCCAACCCCCTGTTCAGGCAGGTAACCCTATACCATTTCGGACAAATGGCTGTCCAGTTTCAGGGAAGGGGGAGGGGTATTGCTAATATGACACAAAAAGCAGCATTGGGCTGCTCGTACAAACCTCTAATTATTCTGAAATACTTCTCCCCAGACTTAAACTTGCCAATAATATAATGGATTTCCCTTCAATGCCCTTTCATGTTGGTTCAAAACAGAAGCCAGTAAGCAGAGAAGTCACTTTATTTATTCATGGTCTGCATTAACATTTATTCAGCTGGCAGCTGTGTACTGAATGAGGCAGAAACCTGAGATCTGCCTGCTGGATCTGTAAGCCTACGGATCTTTCAGCAAGTATGTGGAGAATCTTTTAGAATATGGGGCTTAACACATGAGAAGTTTGGGTGTTCGCTGCCAAAGGCAAAGAGCACTCGGTACCCTAATGACCCCAAGGGAAGACAAGGAACATTTGTGGCCGGCAAAGGAGATTCATTCATTCGTGCAAATAGGAAGAAGGGTCATTCATCAGCTCCTGTTACTACTATGGGAGCAGCTACTGAAGAGGTGTGTTATTATATTTCTGCATCCTGAAGTGAACTTCAATAAATAGCCATGAAGCTTCTAAGACCATTCTTAATTAGCAAGTTCAATGCAGTAGAGATGAATTTTGAATCGGGAGACTCCCGATTCACAACTTAGTCTCTTGGGGCTCATCTACAGAGCAACAGCTATGTGTTTTCCTCCCATCCTTGAGGCGGGAGGACAATATGCCAACAATATGCTCTCTCCACAGCCTATCTTTTATTGCACCTTAGCAATGAGCTGGCAATGCCTACATATAGTTCAGTGCAAGATAATTTTAGGACAGTTGGTATGTTTTCCATCAAACATGTGTCACCAGCAGACAACACACAGAAGATAACACAGAGGATGCGAAGAGAGGGAAGATTAAGGTTGTGCATTACACATGCTAGAAGAATCCACCAAACTCCTGCAACCCGTCCATGTGGGGAGAGAGGGGGAAATGAGTTGAAAGTGCCAGATTTCAGGCACTAAAAGACAGACTGGGTTGATAGAAATAGAGATACAAATTGTTGTGATGAAAAAGGTTGGAAGCATTTGCCTAGTTTCCCCGGCAAAAGATATGCTCCTGCAGAAGCAAAAGTAAGGAGTCTACTTATAAAGCCTGATCAGGCCAACTATCTGGAAGAAATTCAGTCTAACAGATTATACCAAAAGAAGTCTGGCCATACTAACTCTCAACAAAAAGATCTGCTTAGAAAACCTTAAGAATTCATGGAACGCTTTCTCTAAGAACCGCCCCCTAGAAGGCTAACACTTGCAAATTATTAGTTTTTTTACATATTTAAAAGAAGATTCTTGGTTAAACGAATCTTCTGGCAACTCTTTTTTTATAATTCTTGTTGTTGTACATGACAGATTAAATTAGTCCTCTGCTACATGGTGTTGTTTTCCAGGCATCCTGTAACCAACAGAATTCCTAGTAAGCATAGACCGTATACCAAATAAATCACAGATAATTACATTAACTGCTTGCACCAGCAGGAGGAGCCAAGTGGGAGTGGCTGAACTGCACTTCATTCTGGAGAACAGTACAAACTGCTCATTAACCTAGTGTGCACACAGCAATGTCAATGTAAGTTTAATATAAGAATTGTTATATTATTCCTTAAATTCCCCTGAGTTTCAGAAGTAGTCATTGGTGATGACTGTTTTTAGAGATGCTTGTAATTACTAGCCTGACCCTTGTGGGGTTAATTGGCTGAATGACCCCATATCCAAAATGGAAAGGCAATTTTCTTCAAACAATCCAGTGAATGTTATGCCAGCAATCAATAATTTTCTTTAAAACGCCAACAAATGATCATTTTTCATCATTTTTGTAAGTTAACTCTTGCTTTGTTACAACTTTGGATCTAACCTTCCATGCTTGAACAAGCCTTATTAAGCATGAAATATGGACTTACCATATAAATCTTTTGCACTCATTTTGCCAGCAGAATCTCCTTTACCCATGCTGCCACTGGAAATAGAGAAAGCAGTAAGATGAAACAAGAGCAATTTAATTTGTCTTTGAGAAAATTCACCATTTGTTTCCACAGTGCTGATGACAGGAGTTTAACTTCCTGTGTGGGGAAAACAGGACATAGAATCCTAAGCAAGGTGTGGCGGCAAGGTCCTCCATTTTTTCCATATCATGAGATTAAAAACAGCATTTTTTTGTTTTTCTTTCCCGATTCTCACTCCTCAAACAGATTGTAATTTGCAGGTTTCAAATAGAGCAAAGACTCTGCAACAGATCTGGCTCTTTGTCACTTACTATGTGCTCATAGTTACCAACCTTTTTTTTAATGTTACTATAATGTATTTTCTATTTTTGCTTGCTTTTATTGTACACCGCCTAGAGTCAAGAGTTTGGAATCAGGCGCTGTCTAAATTGAATACATTACATTAAATTCCCTGCTGATGTCATAGTAAAAGAACAAAAGGGAACAAACTGCCATTGTTCTTCAGGAGCTGTAATCCCTAAAGTGATATAAATCAGCATTAGGCTGGTTTCAGGCTATAGGACTTGCTGTGTCTTTGATTAGAACCTCAAAGTCCCCATCCTGAATCTGAACCTGAAAAGAGGTCAAGACATGTCTTCTGCAATTTAAGAACTCAGGGCATGAAATAATACATTTAAGTTACAGGAGAGCAGATTGAATATTATATATATAAAAAATCCCAACGGAGTAGTTAACACTGGAACCAATTACCTAGAGAAGCACTGCACTCCCTATTAGTGGATGAGTCAAAGCAGAGGCTAGGCTGTCCTATGTGGGGATATTTTAATCTGGATTCCTCCATTGAATGGGGTGGGTGGGATGTTGACTATTATTTATTTATTTATTTGCTGCCCATCTCGCAGTCAAGGCTACTAAATGGCTCCTTCCAAATCTATGATTCTACATACAAGAACTATATGAGGGGTTTGTATGCCAGAAGTGAATGGAGATTGCACTCCTTCCACACAGAACCCAGTGCTCTCCACTCTCACACAAATGCTTCCTCTCGGGAGAATGAAACATGTGCCACAAATACCATGACTTGCGTAAGTATTTGTGTCAGTCGTCAGAAGCAGGATTTGTGTCATAAATAATAATTATTTTGACAGACATTTTGTTTCCTACAAGTCCCATATTTAATTGTAAAATTTTACAGCAGTGGTCTCCAAACTCTGAGCCACGGACCAGTACCGGTCCTTGGCCCATTGGGGCTACGCAAGTGGCAGGTGAGCACATGAAGTTTTATTTGTGCATGTGTGAGATTAGGTTGTGCACACGCAACCATCCCTTCCCCGCCCCCCTGCCACCACTACTGCCAGTCTGTGGACCCAAAAAGGTTGGGGACCGCTGTTTTAGGGGACAGAAAAACAATTGTGTTGTTCCTATCATTATACAATGGGAATCAGAAATATAAACTGCACATAATCCAGAGACCCAGCAAGGGATTTCATGCCTACCCAATCTAGCCAGAAATTAAAAAGTAGAAATATTATTTACACAGGACACAATTCTACTTTTCAGCATCTGCAAACTTGCCCTCTACATATTCTCAGTGTACTTCCGGTGACAATCCAGATTGTAGAACTCTGAACCTCTCCAGTTGCTT